GGCGATTCACCGGGGAAGGACGCGGGCGGGATCCGGCGCTTCCCGCCAGCCTCCGCCCCGCCATTAGGCATCGTTTTTCCTCAAAAAGGCCAAAGACGGGCGAGATCATAAAGCGGCTTTTCCCGAACAAATCCTTTCGTAAAGGCAGTCATCCAGAGGGACGTATTTTCCCAACTTTAGATCCAGAAAATACAACCGGTCTGAGGTTTGGTGGGGGTCGAATCCTTCCCTCTGTAAGCGGGTTTTCTGAATCTTAAATGTACCTTTAAAAGAGGAAAAAAAAAAAAAAAACCAAAACAACCCAATAAAATTAAGAAAAGCTTTGCAGCGAAGCGCCTGCTTCGGCCTCAGAGCGAGGAGGAAGTGCCGCGGGTGGAGTTTCATTTCTACTTCCCATTTTTGCCTAAGAATTTTAGCAACTTGCGGCTCGTTAGCCAGGCCGGATCGTTATCTGAGCTCTTGCGTAAACCTTGCGCAATTTTTACTTCTCTCCCAGGGGCTGGTAAAAGAACCCCGGGGGGTAAAATTCCTGGAAAACTGAGAATAGAAAACGCAGCAGCAGCAAAACAGCAGCTGCGACGCGGCCGTGAGCGGTAGCGGAACAAAGCCCCGGGAAAGGCAACGGCCGGCGTTAGGAGCACGCGCGCTCTCTCTCGAGATCCATCTTTTCCAGAAGGATCTGGAACCAGCCCATTTCTTCTTTAAACCTTAAACCACAATCGTATTTTTTTTTCCCCCGCGGCACTTCCGCGCCTGCCGTCCTGGAAGTCAGGCTGTTATTTCATCACCGAAGCAAGCGGAAATGCTTCCAAGCTCCTTTGGGGATCTGAATTTCCCCGGAGAGCGGCCGGATCGCCAATACCTGTGGTGTCAACCTGGGGCAGGAGGCGGAGAAAGACGGGGCGGGCGTAGGGAGGCAACACCTTCTGCAGCTCCTGGTACAGGACGTTGGGGTTGACTTTAGCTTTGGGATCCGCGATCGCCGCCATCCCAGCTTTGCCTTCCACCCCTGGAAGAGAAGAGCGCAGCGCTGGAGACGGCAGCGGGACCGACACCTTTAGCAGATGCAAGTGCATTTATTTTCCCTCCTCCTTCAAGGCGAAACGCGAAGGCGCTGAGGAAAACCCCGCTGAACTGCAGAGGCTCCGAGGCCATTGCCAACGCGTCCTCTTCATCGACGCCGAAATCTAATCCAATCCTTGTTTTTGTCGGGTTTCTCTCACCGTGATTAAAATTCAGGGCGAAGCGCCACAACGGGCACTTTTCTGGCCAACGAGCCAGGCACGGGACCATTCGGTTCCCATCCCCGCGCCCTCCTCAACCCCTGAGCCACTGGAAGATTTGGACCCGTGGTCTTTGCCCACCACGAGCTTCCGCAAAGCTCACGTCGTAAAAACCTTCCTCGTTAAGACACAAAGATTCCGCTACTGGATCTCATTATTTCTCCTGCCTGGAATAAATGTGTCCAACTCCGCTCTTGGACCCCATCGGCACCTTTTTATTTGGGGGTGCCTGGTTACCATCCAGGTGACCGATTCCGACACGGATCTGGTAACGTTTGCCCAAAATTTACCTTTCTCCCTAAACCCCCAGAGCTCCGCCTCAATGTTTTTTTTACCTGGGACTTCCACCCCGTACACCGCCACGTCCGTCTGGTTGAGGATGTGACTCAAGGTTCCTTCCACCTCGGTGGTAGAGACGTTCTCTCCTCGCCATCGGAAGGTGTCCCCACTGCGGTCTTTGAAGTACATGTAACCCAGTTCGTCCATCACCAACACATCTCCTGGCAGGGGAGGGATCAAAAACACCGCCTCAGGACTCGAGTTCGTTAGCGCTCGAGCCCGCCTCACCGCTCTCTGCTCAGCGCCGTTTTCCTTGCCGCAGAATTGCCTCGGTCACTTCCCGCCGCCGCGCGCTGCCATCGCCTCGTTACGGGAGACAGGCGGCAGCAGGAAAAGGATGCGGGGGGGACGGGGGAGAATCATCTTCCCCCCCTGAAATGTTCATTTTTTTTATTAAATCCAGAGCAGCTTAACAGCTGGCAAGGTCAAAACACTAACGCATCTCCTGATCATAGAATCATGGAATGGTTTGGGTCAGGGAGTTGCTTTGAAAATCTGAAGTCCTATCAGGCAGATAATTTAACATGGATCCTTTTGTAGCTGTACACTGTAGCTCATCAGCAGAATACTTCCTGACTCTAAAATCTCTGTGCCTTCAGATACTAAATTCTCTGTCAGTTGTGGCACAGGGGCTGTTAGGGCCATAAAGAAAATGAAATTCTAACTCACTGAACTTTTTATTGCCTATAGTACAAGTATAAGGAAGGCTATCGCAAGCAGCTTGGCCACCACATAGGGGCCCGTAACATAGAGGATGATCCAAAGATGATGTGGTCGATGCACGTAGCCAAGATCCAGAGCGACAGGGAGTACAAGAAAGCCTTTGAGAAGACAAAGACGCACTTCAGTAGCCCAGTGGACATGCTGGGAATCGTGTTGGCCAAGAAATGTCAGGAGCTGGTCAGCGACATTGATTACAAGCACCCTCTGCATCGTTGGACCTGTCTGCCGGACCAGAACGATGTTGTGGTGGCGCTCTCGCTGACGTAGCCGTCGAAGCGACGCAGGGGATCCTGCTGGTTTATCTGCCCGACGAGCAATCCCGGCTCTCCTGCAGGGAAGGTGACAAGACGACACCGACGTGTCACCCCAAAAAGGCGTTCACATTGCCAAACCGTGGGGAAGGGGAAGGGAAACCCCCGTATGCCACACCGGGACCCCCTTAAACCAGCCAGAGCTCAGCTTATATATTTTTTGGGTGGTTTTTTTTTTCTTTAGATCAAAAAGCTGCGAGTGCTTTGTTGGGGTTACCGCTCACCTGGGCGACAGGGGATACACAGCCCCCCGGAATCCCGGATCAGCTCCATCGTGTCCTCATTTACCTTCACCAAACGAATGGGATAAACATTGGGCAAAATCCGACTGTTGAAACCGCAGGCACCGACCTTCCAGAAGGGTGAAAAAAAGAAACCAAACCCCAAACCCTAAAAGGCTGAAGAGAACCAGGGGGGGGGGTTGCATTTCGCTGGCTGGGAATTCCCGATCTCTCCCCCCTTTCCATTTATCAGGCAAATTCACCCCAAATATAAGATTTTCTTCCCCGTTTTTTCGCACAGGCCACCCCCAATCACCCACTTAGCTCCCCACCGCCCCTTGCGGGAGGACTTGGAGGAGCCAGCAGAGCTTTCCCTCCTTTCCCGCGCTCCTCGGCGCCCTCTTCCTCCTCACCTTCCCATCCAAGTTGGCGATGCTGCAGTTGCACTCGGTGGCGCCGTAGAATTCTCCGATCTGCTGGATTCGGAAGCGTTTTGTGAAGTCCTCCCATATGGTGGGTCTCAAACCATTGCCCACCGCCAGCCGCACGCGGTGCTGGGTTTCTGACTCTCGCACCGGCTGGGGTCGACAGGACGTCCAAGTTTCTCCCTAAACATGAGAACCGGCTGGTTCAGAAGGTACCTGCAGATTTCCCCGATATACTGAATAATCTGAAGCAGTAAACACAAAAACATCGCTCAGGCTTCAGGCGACCCCTCGCAACGCCCCGGAAAAAGCCGAGCACGAGGCCGCCGGTGTCAGCGTACCCCGCGGAACCAAACACGTCAGGCATTTTCTAATAAACTCGGGAGGTTTTGCCAAATTCACGTGGGGATTTCTCGCCACAAAACAAAACATTGGCGAAGGGAAAGCAGTTATTGCCCTCCAGAAACCAAAGGGAAGAGCACGGGAGGGATCCCCCAGCGGGAATAAGGATATTTGAAGGAGGAAAAAGCCTCGTGCTTGAACGGGTGACAAAAAGAGGCGAGGAAAGGCGAGGGGAGCAAACGGTCAGGCATGAACTTGACCCAGCAAAACGGAGCGGAGCTCCAATTACCAGCTATAAATAGTGCTGGTGAGGAAAGGGCGAGACAAACACCCGGGAGGAGAAAGGGCTGCTTAAATTAGAAGGTAATGTAGATGTTTGTCGGCTACAAACTGCCAAAAGAATTCCTCCGCAGGGATTCCTAACGCGGATAAAACCCGGCAGAGCTTTTCCTGCATCGGTAAGGGACGCAAGCGTCTCTTGTAAAAGCCGGTCTTGACAACTGCTCAGCAGGGTGCCCAGGTGGCCAAGGGGGCCAGCGGCATCCGGGCTTGTCTCAGGAGTGGTGTGGCCAGCAGGAGCAGGGCAGGGAGCGTGCCCCTGTGCTGGGCACTGGGGGGGCCGCCCCTCGAGTGCTGGGGTCAGGGTTGGGCCCCTCCCTCCCCGAAGGACCTGGGGGGGCTGGAGC